CCAGCTTTCATACGCTGGTGCATGAAATTTTTAACTGTTTTTCAATGTTTGAACCATTTTTGCATAAAGTATACAAAGCAGTGAAAATCATTAACAGGCAATCGTTCGATGGGCTGAATTGCACAAAACGCATGATCACACCGGCTAGTCTGGTGCGCGTTAGCAATCGTTCGATGGGCTGAATTGCACAAAACGCATGATCGCACCGGCTAGTCTGGTGTGCGTTGCTATTTATTATGTCGATGGGCTGAATTGCACAAAACGCATGATCGCACCGGCTAGTCTGGTGCGCGTTGCCATTTATTTTGCCTCAGCCGGTGCCTCAAACAGAATGCTGAACTCGCCCAGCCAGTGCCTGCTTACCTGAAAATTTCCGCCCATAAGCCACTGTGAGGGACTGACTCCCTCCAATATTTGTAAAGGGCTACTGGCTATTTAAAGGTTGCGACCGCATTTTATTGGTGGGCAAAAGAAGCAAAGAAGTAAAAGAAACAGAATGTTAGTTAAGATGCAAGTAAGTTCATAAATTCAAAGGAGGTGAAATGAGAACAGAATGGGAGTATTTGAATGAGACGAGAAGTGGGACACGGAAAGGGGGCGAGTGAGGGAGACGACAGCACCACGCAAAATCGCCCAACATGCAAAACTGCAACAAAAATCACCTCCGGATCTCGATCCTCAAGCAGCGACACGAGCGAATAAAAAGCCATGTTCCGCAGATCGGTGAAGTGCTGCCAATAGCGAACGATCATCTGTGCACAAAGCTTTTTCACTTTCGCCTCATCGCTTCTGGTGCCAGCAATGAAAATTTTGTAATCCATCGTATTCTGAAAACCACCCAGTACAGATCTGTGCTTTTGTACTGCGCAGCCTGAAGCTTTCTGGACAACCGAAGCCTCACAGTTCGCTCAAAAAAAAGTCAGGAGGATTTTCCTCTGAAAACTCAGAGCAGTGCTGCAGTGCCGTAACGATCAGAAAGAGGATATGGGCAGCTGCGAAAAGCGAACAAGCACCTCCTTATTAGTATAAGAGCAAAACAAATCAAAAAAAGACACAAACTCCGAAATTATCCGGCAGCAGTTCCAAGCTGTCATCGAACACGAGCTACAGTGAAAGCGGCAGCAGCTCCAAGCTGCCGCCACACACACTTTTTGACTCAACAAAAGCAATCTTTAGTTTCACCACATTAAATATCACGGAAGAGGAACAAGAGGCAAGAAACGGGACATTTGCATATCACAAGGAATCGAAGGGCAACTGGGTAAGGCGAAGGGTTTTAGTCACCGTCTTCGTTTCCTTGCCACTAGCTCCTTTTTCCTTTTACAACAGTGCTGCTCACGTCAGTAAATCACTCAAAATTCTCGACGATCTGTTAATCCCATCGTGTTGCTGTGCCCTCTGCACCCCCCTCAAAGTGGCTACGTGAATTTCAGAAACAGCGGTAGCGGTGTGCAACAAGATGCGCTTACTTTCTGATTTGATCTGTCGAGGCGTTCGCATGCATCATATACCTCATCAATGGTGACGTCGCTCATTTCTTCTCGCCAGCCAGTCGGCACAGCTCTGAAAGCATTCAGCAAACTCGCAG